GCCGCCGCGCTGCTGCGAGGGCAGCAGCGGGGTCGTGTCAAATTCGGGCCGCTGCCGCATCGGTGCGTGGGGCCGCCCCCGCCCCTCGCCCGCGCTGGAGGCGCGCCATGCGACCGCGTTGCCGCCACCAGTCCCGCCGCCGCCGCCGCCGCCGCTGAAGCCGCCTGCGAAGGCTGCGACGAACGGCTGCATGGCCGCGCAGCCGCCTGCCACGCCCGCGCCGGTCCCGGCCGTGAGCGGCCGCCGGGAGAGCGGCGCCCACGGCGGGTTGTGCTGCCTGTGCAGCGGCCGCTGCGCCTGCGACGCCGTCCCGGGGCGCGCCCCAGGGCAGGAGACGGGCCGCCGGTCTGGCCCGAATTCGCACCCCGCCAGGCGGGCAGACAGAAGGGGGTTGCGCCAGATCTCGGCCTCTTGGGGCTGCGAGCTGCGCGGACGGCCCGCGGCTGTGCTGGGGCGCTGCTGCTGCTGCTGCGGCGGCTGCGGCTGCTGCTGCAGCTGTTCCTGCTGCTGCTGTTCCTGCTGCTGCTCCTGCCCCTGCTGGTGGTGCTGCTGCCGCTTAGAAACTGCCAAGGGCGCTGCAGGTGGCGTCGGCGGCGCGAGGTGGGCCATGTGCTTGCGGTGCTGAACGCCGCTGCCGCCCTGCTGCGGCCGCCTTTGCAGCCACGGCCGAGCAGGGGGCGTATACACCACACGCAAGGTGTCCTCCAAACTGACCCCCTTGTCCAGCGCGTCGCCGCCGCCGGGCCGCGGCCCCCCCGACGCCCGGCGGCGCCGCTGCTCCTGCTCCTGCTGCCGCTGCCGCTTCAGCTGCTGCCGCGGCGCGGGCGAGGGGGCGCGCGGCGGCGCGGGCGCAGCGCTCGCCGCGAGGGCCGCGGCGCGGCGCTCTTGGGCTTCTAAAAAGCGGGCCGCCTGGAAATCCATGCGCCGCTCGATCTCATCCAGATCCCTTGGCACGCCGCCGCCGCTGCTGCCCACAGTGGGGGCAAGGTCTTTGCCGCCGCCGTCGTCGCCGATACCTGCTCTGCCCCCTGCCGCCTCATGGTCGTCGCCGTCGTCATCCTGCTGATGGGTAAACAAGCGCATGGGGTTGCATGGGATGCATGCATGGCTGCTGCACGGGCTGCACGAGGCGCATGCGGCCGGATCGCAGCGGAGCGCCTGCACATTCAGCGGAGCGCGCCCGCACAAGGGTGCGCGCCGCGTCTGATGCCGTCGATTGGCAAGATATAGGCATAGGCAATGGCCAGCTTGCCTGTATGAAGCTGTCGTCTGACAAAACGTCCTCCTCCATACAGTCCTTATTGCGATGCGCAAACAGCACGGGAGCTGCAGGGGGTAGTGCCGTAGAAAAAAGAAGTGAAAAATGTTCAGGTGAATCCATAAGACATTTATGAAATGTGGAAATCCTGGTTTCACGCGAAAGGGCACCGTTTCTTGTGACCGTGTCGACGAAGCATTGACGGTGATTGAACGAGCCGGGCTGGCAGATAACATGCGCAAAACACGACAAAAATAGGCCAACGCAATACCGACCGACCCCTTTACTTGTGCTGCAGTCACGTGTGTGGCAGAGGCGGCGCTGCTGGCCGGGCACACAGACCAACCCCCATGGACACGCTCACCTGCCTTCATTTCACCCAGCGCCGCGGCCATACTTGGCGCCAGGGATCCCACCGCCGCCACGCAGTGCTGCCAGGTCACTCTCAGGAAGCCCCACGCCGACCTCGTTGCCGATGCTGACCCAGTAATCCCTCAGGTTGTTGCGGCGAGCGAAAATCTCCAGGTAGCGGCCTGACACACGAAAAGCAAGCAAGGCGTTTGAGCGCACGAGTGGCGCCCCGCAGCGCGATCGGCGAGGGAATCGGCGGAGTGAGCATGTCATCCCGCCACATTGATTGCAGGTCCAAGTCACCTTTCACTCGGCGTCCTGCAGCCCTGCGCCTGCGCTCCGCCCTGCTGCCTGTGCACTCCCCCCCCAAAAGGGTGCCGCACCCTTCCGGGTGCCGCGCCATTCAGGAAGCATCCCAGCCCCCCTCACCTCCCGGCACCAGCGCCTCAATCAGATCGTACAGCTCCTCAGGCTTCTGGCTCTGCCCCCGCCGCTCGCTGATTATGACGTCGCACACCCCCAGCCCGGCCGCGCCCCCACCCCCGCCGCCGGCCTCGGCCCCGGCACCCCCGCCGGGCCCAGCGCCCCCGCCGGCCGCGGACGGCGGCGGCCCCGCGCCGCGCCAGCCGACGAGGCAGACCTCCTTGGCGTGCTGCAGGTAGTAGCCGTGGGACTTGAACAGGCGGCGGTTGACCGTGGTCTTGACCCACACGATCTCGTCGACGAGCCTGCGGCGACGCGGCCACGCGGTGTGGGGGCCGCAGGGCAATAGGGCGTCGCCTCGGCCGGGGCTGGGCGCAGGAGAGGTGCTGCAGGCCGCCCTGCGCAGCATGCTGCGACCGGGCGCAGGCCCACGGCATGCGCGCGGCTCGCACAAGCAGCGGTCGCCACAGCCAGCGGCGAGCGTCGCAGCAAGCGATATTTGGTGCGCGCACATGCACCCACTCGTAGCCCCAGCGGTCAAACAGGTCAAGGGTGAAGCGGTACTTGGCGTTGATGACCCACACGAACAGCAGCCCAGCCTCCACCTGCAGCGCCGGCACTGGCAGCGCGGCGATGGCTTCGTCTGATAGCTGGCTGTAGCCCAGGGCCACGCCCCTCGTCGGGTTGGCGGTGGCGAGCTGCGCGCCCCGGGGTCGGGGTGGGGATTGGGGGGGTGAAGAGGGGCGCGGCGCGGCAGGCGTGGGCCTGAGCGGGGGCAGTGGCCGTGGCAAGGTAGAAAGGTGCGGGAGCAGCGGCTGGCAGGTCCTGCAAGGGAGCATTGGCTGCTGACGACCGGTGGTGCATGTGTGAAGACTCTCATATGCTGATGTGATTGTCGCAGCTGGAGGCGAACTGCAAGGGGACTGCACGCGCCTGGTCAAACCGGTCAACGGGCACACCGCTGCCCAGAACAGTGCCCAGGCCCACCTGCCACGGCGGGTCCATCAGCACCACGTCAAACTGGCAGGATGAGTAGAGGGACTGCCAGTCAAACGTCGTGACGTTGGCGTGGATGGGGACGCAGTGCGGCGGCACCCGCCAGTCTGAGGGGCCGACAGCGGCGGCGGGCGCGGCTGCGGCATCGCTGGCGTCCGGGCGTGGCCCCGCCGACCGTGGCCTCTCTAATCGCGGATCTGCTGCACTGCCGGCCGCAGCGGCGGTTGCGTGGTCATCCGACGCATCTGCTGATGCCGCCGGGTCTGCTGCCGCCCGTGCAGGGTGGGCGTTTGGGCCGTCTTCTGGCGCCGCCGGACTACAAGAAAGTGTCATCAGCTGGCCAGCTGGCCTGGCAGCCTCTTGGGGCGCGGGCACTGTTGCAGCTCCACCGACCTCCGTAACCCTGGCAACGTCTGTATCATCGCCCAGAGCCGCCAGCACCCCTGCCACATCGGCAATGCAGCGCCGGTAGTCGGCGATGCGGCGCAGCAGCTGGCCGCGAGGCGCAGCCGCGGGATTTGCCAAGGCCACAGCGTCCTTCAGGAGGTCATAGGCAGACTTCACGACCGCTTCGTGATGCGCCTGCTGGCCAGATCCCTCATCTGGATGGTCCATGCTCTTTCGCGCGAGCTTCAGATCTAGGTGGCCTTCGCAGCAGCGGGCGAGACTTTCATTGATATTATTATTTCCGGATCAACACTTTGAAATCGTGTGAACGGCGATCCTATGGCGTTTGGTTCAGCTTCCCACCCGCTGCTGCAGATTTTCCGAAGTCCGAAATGTCGGTTGGCCACATATGCTTGCTCGGCACATCGGAGAGTCTTCTATCAATCCTAGTCTTGCATTTTCATATCGCATACCAGAGCTGTGATGAAACCCAGTCTCGAGCGGAGCAGCCGTGCCCGGGTGGCAAGGAGCAGCAGACGGTCCCTTATCTGCCAGGCACAAGCACTAAAAGGGGCTACCTTTTGGCCCGGCCGCAGAAGCTCGCAGCCGGCGCCCGCGTCCGAGGGCGCCAGCGGCGCGGCCCCAATAGACGACACATTTGGCGGCCCAAACAGCAGCAGCAGCAGTAGCCTGTCGTCCATGACCGGCATCCCTGTATCGATAGATGGCGGCCATGTTAAGCGGAAGGTCGGCGGCGGCAAGGTAGAAGCCGAGCTGGACGAGCCAGACTATGGGTGGGTGCTGCGTGCTGACTGCGCCAGCGCGGCGCGCTTTTTAGGCCGCTGTGATTGTCGGTTGCACCACATCGCGACTGCGCTCTTTGGCCGCAATGGCGCTGCCTTTGGATGTGTATGTTATACTCATGCATTTATGTTATTCCTCGCGTATCTGGCGGCGCGCCAGCGCCGATTCTGGCATGTGCGCTACTTGCTCCCTGCCCCGCATTGCCCTGCTTCCAACATGCATGCGCCCCATCCCCCCAGCGCCGCAGCCCTCGATTCCACATTCACGCTCTGCCGCCTGCTCCCTCCCCTCTTCCCTGCAGCCAACTGCCCTGCATGAGCCGCTCCTGTACCCCTCCCGTGCCCAACACCGACAGCCACATCCCATTGGCAGTGTCGGCCCGCCGTGCCTCTGTGACGCACCCGTGCTCGAACACCCTCAACCGTTGATACACAGCAACACCCTCAAAGCCCCCTATCCGACCCCTCCCTGCACCCAATCAAAGGAGCCCCAACGAAACGCCCCCGAACCCACCCAAACCCCCCGCAGGCGCGAGTCGATACTCGACATCGCCCGCAGCCGCACCGGCTGGCTGGTCGCCTTCTGCGTCGGCCTGCTGCTCGCGGCCCTGGTGGTGGAGCAGTTTGAGGGTGTGCTGGAGCAGCACGTGGAGCTGTCGTTTTTCGTGCCCCTGATCATGGGCCACGGCGGCAATACCGGGTCGCAGTCGGTCACCACCGTCATCAGGTGATGCCACGCGCACTTTGGGAGGCGGAGCGCGCACGGGCGCGGGGGCCCCTGGGCGGGGC